ACTTGAAGAGATGATCCCCTTAGTCCTTTGTCTACCTTGCACAGTTGGCTGGCTCCCTTTTCCACACCCTGGGAGGTAACCAAAAGTTTAAACTAAGGTTAAAAACAGAACAAATCCAGGCATGATGGTGCATACCTGTAATCTCAGCACTTTATGGGGGCTGAGGCAGGAAGATTGCGAATTTGAGAACAGCCTGGGGGAACTTAGCAACTTAGTGAGACCTTATCTCAAAATAAAAACTAAAAATGGACTGGGGATGTAGCTTAGTGCAAAAGCCCTGGGTTTAATTCCCAGTACTTCAAAACAAACAAAAAACATTGAAAAACAAAAACAACCCCCCAAACCACTGCAACAGGCAGTAGGGAGGTGCTAGAAGGAATGAAGGAAGATATGGTCAAAGGGAGAAAGTAGCATGCTGGAGAGAAGCGTCTGGTGTATTGGAAGGTTTGCCAGTAAAAGGCCAGACCTGACAACTGAGCTGGCCTGAGGAAACACAGAAACCCACCAGCAGGTTGAGACAGCAATGAAAGCCTGTTCCAAGGAAAACTGGCAGAGTGGTCCTTGAAGACTCTGATACAGGCTAAGAAACCTTCAAACTGGAGTAAGAAGAGAGAAACAATTTCCATGTTACTATTGAGATAATGATTGTTCTTGCATTTGACTTCTATACACATAACCAGGTGTGGAAAGAATGACCTCTGTGTGCAGACAGTGCCGGGTAAACATGTGGAAAGATATTCAGACTCCCCATACTGCAAGGGGATACCTATGGGAATAATGAGATCTTTGGTTCAACTAATGGCTAGCAGAACATAAGAATGGCAACCTCTAATGCTGGTCAGGTACATCAAAAGGAGCTCTGGCATAGTGCTGGAAGGAGAATAAGTAGAGAATTATTTGAAGAACGTGAGTAGATGCTACATATTAACAGCTTTAAATATACTCATTTCCTTTGGCTCATGTTATGGTATGTGTCCAGATGTCCCCCCAAAGCCTGATGCTTTTTTAGAAGTGGCTGAATCTGGGATGTATGATGCTGGGATTAAGGGTGTGTGATCACTAAACCACCATATGTGAGTGATTGGTTTGGCACCGCCCTAAGCCCCATAGTCTGGATGGGATAAAAGGGCCAGAAAGACACTGTTAAAGTCCCTTGTGCTTTTGTTACCTTCTGGCCACCGTGAACTGTTTCCCTTGTTGTTTTTGCTACTGTGTGGGTGCCACGAACTGTTTCTCCTCTGTACAGCCCTCTTCTGTGTGCCACCCTGCCTTGGAGCCAGCCAATTATGGATGGAAACCTCTAAGAATTGTGAGCTAAGCAAACCCTTTCCTCTTTAACTTGAGTGTCGGGTATTTTTGTCTCAGCAAGGACAGAAGAGTAGCTAAGACAGCCCATAAATTCTGAGAATTTCACCTAAAGATATAACAAGAAATGTAAATAAATATGCATGATAAAAGATGTTTAACATTCATTATCTTTAATAATTTTAAAAATTGGACCAACTAAATATTCAGCACTAACTTTCAAGAAAATCATTACCTTGTTGCAATGAAATATTATAGTCATTAAATTTATTTTTATAGAGTGCATAAATTTGAAATATTGATATAATCATGTTAAATAACAAACATGTATATAGTATGCTGTTAATTATGTAAAAACACTGCAAAAAGTGTTTGAAGGAAATGTTCTAAAATATAACAGTTGCTGCATGTCTTTGGATTATATTTTTCTTCTTTTAAAAAATATTTTTATTGAATTTTTGTTTTCTAAATAGATTTTTGAGAAGACTTGAAAAAAATGACTGTGATGTTCTTTTGTTTAGTAACTTCAAACTCATCAGGGAAAGCAGATATGATAAATTTTGTAGAAGCTGAGTATTTTAAAATCTGAATTTATGCCTAGGAATGTGTAAACAAAGCATGGTAAACAGAATGATGTCCCTCAAACACATGTTGATGTTCTAATCCCCAGAACCTGTGACTGTGTTAGCTCTCATAGCAAAAGGGCACGTAAGGCTACAGGTGGAATAAGTTTCCTAATCCACTGACCTTGGGATAGGGCGATTATCCTGGATAATCAATGCCAGCTTGTACCTGTGCTTGAACAAAGCACCCTAAACCTCCACATTCTGTTTAGGAGTAAATTTGCTGCAGTTGCAGGATGTTTTGTAGCTCACCTAGTGTGTGTGAAACTTCCTTGTGGCCCCCCGCCCCCCCTGCCCGATCCCAATTCACCTGGCATGGCTCTGCTTCTGTAAGATTCGGCTTGGTCTCCCCTGAGCCCTCCCCACTGAAAGCTGATTTAAAAGGAGGAATCAAACCGCTTCCCGTTGCCGAGAGAACTTTCTGGGTGCTAGCTCCCCTCGGCCACTGCCTTAATAAATGGGCTCAATCTGGCACAGAGTGTGGTGCACTCTATTGTTCTAACTCACTCATCCATAATAGCACAAGTGTCCTTTTAAGCAGAAGATAGAAACCAAGAGAGAGAACCAAGAGATGGCATTGTGAGAAGAGCTTGGTCTGACTCTTGGCTGGGAAGATGGAGAAAGTGGCCACAGGCCAAATAATGTGAGCAACCTGTAGCAGCTAAAAAAAAAGTCAAAGAAATGGGCTCTATCCTGGAGCCTCCAGAAGGAAATGGTCTTTTGACACCTTGATTTTAGCCCAGTGATAACCATTTTGTACTTTTGACCCTTAGAAGTAAAAAAATAATGTGTGTTGTCTTAAGGCAGTAAGTTTATAGTAATTTGTTACAGCAGCAATATATCACTCCTAAATGACAGTGAGGCACCCTTGACATAATAATTTAAAGTGTACAAAATATTTCCACCATGCCTTAGTATTGCTGACTAGCATAGGTTCTTAAGTGCACATAGTTGGAAATCAAATTGAAGGCTAAAATAAAGGTTTATTTTAGGAAAGCAACCCAGCTGGCTACTCTATAGACACAGCAGCTTAGTTAGGGACAGCAAACATGGATGGCTACTCAACAGACAGACTGACCCTGCACAAAGGACACTTTTTAATTGTATGGGTCTCAAAAGAATGTCATTCATTATCCATGGATTTTTAAAAAAGGGGCAGGGGCTTCTGGACGGGGTGGTTTAGTTATTTGTATTGGTCTCATCTGGTTTGCAGGCAGAATACACACCCTGCTTTCAGGGCCTCTGCACTGAGCTACAGCCCTAGCCCTTTTTCTTTTTTTATTTAGAGACAAGGTCTTTCTAAGTCACTAAGTTGACCAAGATAGACTCCAACTTAGATCCTCCTGCGGCAGCCTCCCATAGTGCTGGGATGACAGGCATGCACCACCATACCCTAGCTACATCCTGGTTCCTTATCTCAGGGAGTGCATTGCCTTGCCTTTTTTTTTTTTTTTTTTGGTACTGGGGATTGAACTCAGGACCTTGTGCTTGTGATGCAGGCAGCAGAAGGACCACTGAGTGAAATCCCCCGCCCTGTCTTGCCATTTTGATTAACCAATTGTTTTCCTTTTGTCTCTTACCACCCAGAAGTGCAGTTGCCTGCTTGTTTCCTATCAGGCAGTTCCTTCAGTGTCCTGTTAGCTCCCTGCCTCAGTTATACACCTGGACTCTGGAGGCAGACTGTCGAGTCTCAAGTCTGTCTCTGTAGCTTGTTTGCTATTTGGCTTTGAGCAAATGACTTAGCCTCTGGTTAGCTTCCTGCTTCATTAGCTTGTCCGATCTTCACAGGAGTCTTGTGTATGAGAAATGCATGCCTGGCCTCATATTACAGATAGGAAAATCAAGGCTTGTTTTCCCATTTACAACATTTACACAGTGACCGGGTTTGGATTCAGAGCTGGGCCTCTGACTCCAGTTCCTACACTGTGGTCTGCTCTCACCACGAATCCCAAGCAAGGGTAAGTAAAAAGCAGAAGACTGTAAAATGTGGGTGTCTGCTTGGCCAAGTACAACAGAGAAAAAGGATGAGTAGTCCACATGAATAGTCCATGTGTTAAATTTACAGGATTTGCTTACTATAACACTTTTGAATAGAAAAAAAAGCCCCCTAAAGTGATAAATACATTTTAATAATCTCAAACCCGTTTTCCAATTCTTTTCTTTTCCAAAGAAGTGGTTGTATAGTTAGTTATATATGAACAAGTGAGGAAATTCTCTAATTCTTGGGGAGAATGACTAATCTGTAGCTTGGCTTGCCTATACCTCTTAATGACATCACTTGGCCTTTCTATTGTGGTCACACTGATCATATGGCAACACAAATACAAGAAGGTGAAATTCAAGCCCCTATGTGATGAATAACTTTATGTATCAACTTGGCTGGGCCATGGGGTGCCCAGATATTTGATCAAACATTATTCCAGGTGTGTCTGTGAAAGCTTTTATGGATGAGGTTAGCTTTTGAATTGGCAGACTGAGTAAAGCAGATTGCCTTCCCCCAAAATAGTGGGCATCATCTAATCAATTGAAGACATGACTAGAAATAAAAAGGCTGAGCAAGAGGGAACTCTGTCTGATTGATTGGGACCTCGGTCTTTTCCTGCCTTTGGACTGGGACCACACCACTGGCTTTCCAGCTTACTGACTGCAGATCATGGGACTTCTCAGCCTCCTGAACTGCATGAGCCAATTCTTATAATAAATCTCCTTCTATCGTCACTCTATTTTCTAGTATATATCCTATTGGTTCAGTGTTTCTGGAGAACCCTGACTCATATACCTTGGGGCTCATTAAATGATAGTAAAAAGTGATGGTGATGGGAGTCCCAAAATGGTGGAGCAGTGATTGCCTGCAATTCAGCTTCTACAGAACAAAGTGTCTAGAGCTGGACAATAATAGTTAGGAGAGGAATTGAAGTGAGTGGAGGTTACCCAGGAACCACACAGGAAATGACAGAGGAGAAGAAAATAGGATTAATCATACCACTGAGGAGAGACAGTGCAATGCTAACCCTAGCAGCTGGCTAGCCACCACCTGGGAGGCAAAGTGAAACTAACAACGTTTTTGCCCACAGGGAACTAGAGAACTGCATTGGCACTGAAAGAATCACCTGCAGCAAGGAAAATGTGAGATGCTGCTTTCAGAATGGCCTTCTATACCTGACAGTTGGTGAGTAGCCTCTGTGTAAGCACCCACAGCTATGATTGTGGAGCAAGAGCTGGTGGAAGGGCTGAGTGTTTGGACCTGGGTCCCTGTTTCACACTGCCAAGTTCCCAGGGTGGATGTGGAAAAGACAGTCATGGGAGACTGCTGGGAGAACAGACTGGGGGGAGTTCTGCTGAGAGGCAGGGGCTGGTGAACAGGGTGAGGTACACAGGACTGGAAGCTCACATTGGTGCTATGTTCCCACTCTAAGCGGATCTCTGCACCCAGCACCATTCTGGGGGCAGACTGGCACCATAGACTTCCAACAAGACATATCCTGGCTTGAGCTTTGCTCCTTAACCCTAGGCTGAGAAAAAGTCACACATCCAAAACCATAGAAAAATTTTTTAAATTATTCTTTTTTTTGATTGTATTATTTTTTCACTTGTTGCTCTTCCTTCTGTACATTTTTCTCACGCTTTATTCCATCACTTTACCCTTTCCTCTTTTATGAGCATGTCTGTGTATGCGTGTGTTTCTCTTCCCCTTGCCTTTTTCCCTCACTGTATAGTTTATAGAGGATAAGAGAATTCTCCCTTGCCCCTTACGTCCTTTCTACTTTTATCCATATTTCTTCACCTGACTTCTTTTTCTTGTATCTTATTCATTCTCATTTTTTCTTTTCTTTCCTCTCCCCCTTTTCACTTTTCTTTTAACTTTTTCTCTAATATTTATATCAGTTATACAATCTTTTCCTATCCCCATTTCTCACTATCAATTTTGTACCATTTTCCCTGTTATCTCCTTCTAAATATACAACATACCTTTACCATCGCTAGGATCATTTGCCCCTTTCCTATTTCCTCCTTCCCACACTGCAGAGCAGAGGATTTTAAGAAAAACTTTTTTTTTTTTTTTTCCTGTTTTTCTCTTCTCTTTCCCCTCTGGCATTACCTGGTCCTCGATCACCAGGGCTTTAGATAACTGATTCTGTAAAATCACTGTTGAATGCTATTTTTCATCATTGGAAGAGACACAGCCATTGCATTTAGTGCACAGTAACTGTAGTCAAGACTTGGGCTGGAGGAAGCTCCCCCACCGCCATCCCAGGCTCCTAGGGCAGTGAAGCTGAGCTGGTCCCAGCACCCGGAAGGAAGCTCC